TTTATTTTCTTACTATAATAACTAACATCCTATTTACCTAGTTTTGGGCATTAGTCTGCAACTGTCGGGTATTTTGCTGAAGATGGTTAGTATTTCGCTGATACAATAGCTGTTTAGCAAATTTTTCTTGTAATAATCCTTGAACACGCCGATATGATGAGCAATATTATTTTTTAGTATCAGGCCTATACTAAATGCTATTCTTTGTTTGAGTATAGAACTGAAAAAGGATATGAATGATAGATGTATAAAGTTGAAGATTTTGTCATTTTGTGATTTGAAATTAGTTTCTTGAAGACCAATAACATCTATATTGTATGAGGAATATAAGGAAAGAAGGTGATACTGTTTAGCAATATTGGTAAAGAATCAAACATTGTGCATTGTGAAAGAAAGTTTTAGAATATTAAAGGTATTCTTATTAGAATGGAATTATAAGAAGAAAGAAGTAAAATGATTCTATATTTATCCTGATATGAAAATATCCAGCGACAGGATTCTCGTCTCACATTATTATAGGCTAACATAGCTAAGTCCTGCTCTTCTTGAATATTGGCTCTTTCTCTCAAAGTTCTTTCAACCTGAACGCGAGATTCATCTAATAAATATTGTAACTGTAAATTCTGATTTCTGTTATCATTTAACTGATTTCTAAGATCTTCTACCTGTTAAATTGAATCATTTAATAGGTTCTGATATTGATTCCTCTCAGTTGTGATATTTTACAAAATAACTTGAATAGTATTTAACGAGCTTCTAATTTCATCTATAATATTGACGGGATTTTGCATAGGGTACTAACCCCCTAATGTGATTTTTAATTCAATCTAACCCTCTATTAATATTTGTAATAAGATTAGTCGTTACCATATTTAAAGTATTTATTGGAATTTTTTTATCTATAAGAATTCAGATTCTTGCTTTAAGATTTTCAACCTTATTTTCGAATTGTATGATTCAGCCATCTTAAATAAATCCAACCTCATCTTTAAATTTTTTATCTTATTGTAAGTTTCTAAGCTGTTTTCGTAAATCAGATATTTCTGATTTAAATTTCTCTATCACTTTCTTGTGGACTATGATAGTATTATCCTGTAATGAAATAGTTCAATAACATTGCTCAAGCTCCTTTACAAAGGATCGAATTTTTTTCTCGTAATTCTTATTAATAAAAATCTCATCTCAAAGCTCGTTACAAAGCTCCTGATTCGTATCTAAAAACTATGAATATGCTGGATCAAACATGGTATTTTATCCTAATTTATAATACCATCATAATAATCCTACCTTGAGAATGAGCTAACTACAAATTGTGATAGATTCTGATGAGACTCAGAGAATCGAAAAAAATATTATATTGTGTGATATATATTATTACCCAACCAGATATTATTTTAATCCTAAATCCTTGCTGAAAATGCTTAAGGCAAGTGATGCATGTAAAAAAGAAGGGCATTATTTCTGCCTAAAAGAATGCCATGATTTTTTAGAATGGTAACATATATACCAAATACATAAAACTCCTCTGAAGAATATTCCTAGATGTAGCTATAGCCGAATAACCCGCCCAAATTGTGTACACCAATGTGATTTATTATTCCTTACATATGATCATTATTAAAGCTCTGAAAGGTTCAGTTCAGTCTGGATTAGATGCCAATCTGTATCTGAACTGAAAATTTCGGTTCAGTTCAGTTCAGATTATTAATCTTAAAAATGCCAATCTGAATCCGAACTGAACTGCAGACCGGTAAAAATCTGAACTGAACCAGAATTTTCAGATTAATCTGAAATTACAGTTCAATTATATAAGGAATCCGCAATTTATATGCGAAACTCTAGAAGAATCACAAAAAATCGCGAATTTCTCTTCGAGGTTCGCGAAAATTTGCGAAATTTGATGAGTAATCGCAAAAATTTGAAATTCTCTAAGATTTTTGCATTTTTTACGAAATTTAAAGAGAAATCGCAATTTTTTGCGACTCTTCAAGAATTTTGCGATATTTTTTGCAAAATACCAAGAGAAATCGCAAAAATTGCGATTCTCCAAGGGGTTTGTGATTTTTTTGCGAAATTTAAAGAGAAATCACAATTTTTTGCGATTCTCCAAGAGTTTCACGATAATTTTGCGAAATTCTAAGAGAAATCACAAAAAATTGAGATTTTTCAAGGTTTTCGCAATTTTTTTGCGAAATTCGAAGAGAAATCACAAAAAATTGCGATTCTCTAAGAGTTTCGCTAAATTTTTGCGATCCTCTTAGAGAATTCGCAAATTTTGCGATCCTCTAAGAGTTTCGCATATAATTAATCTGAAATTATCAGTTCAGTTCAGATTTTTTTTGGTTCGGATTAGAATTATAATCCGAAAAAAATCTGAACTGAACTGAAAATTTTCAGATCAATTTTATGCAATCTGAAACTGATCTGAACTGGACTGATCTAAAAAATCTTCAGATTAATCTGAACTGTTCAGAGCTTTAATCATTATAAATATAAAAAATATATAGCAGTACTTAATATAATAGACTGCGTTTCCCAATATAAGGTTTCTGTTCTACTCACATCGAAAAAGAGTTCAGAAGTTACTAGAGTATTCAGAAAAAAATATGATAATCCCAATAATCATCTTGTATGGCCAGAGCTTCTACAATGTGACGGAGTCATGAATTTATGAGAAAGACTTCTCGATTGATGAAGGAGCATAATGTTACTATTCGAGTGATTAGTGTATATTCTCACTGAAAAATAGCTTTTGCAGAACGTTTTAACAAAATACTCACAAAAATACTCTATAAAATCCAAGGTGCTGTTGAATCTATATATCTTAATTCAAAATTGATAAAAGTATGGGTTAGACATTTGCCTATGGTTGTTGATTATCTAAATAATTATTCCACGTGTCTTATTCAAGAACTAGGATCAAAAAATTGGAGACTCAAGCCAGTAAAAGCTATTGTATTAGAACGAGTAAAATTTAGACCATCTACAAAATATAAGCGTCCAGTTGGAAAAGATGAAATAAGATTAAAGAAAGGAGATACTATCCGCTATCTTCTTACCAATGTAGAATAAGAGGATGGAATGACAAATCAGAAATGTGTAACTAACCCTACATTCAGTCCAAGTCTTCATAAAATTTGAAAAGTGGTTATCATAAAGAATGAACCAGCTTTATATTATCTCAAAAGTAATGAATTTACACCAAAGCGGAAGTTTGTTAAAGAAGAACTCATGTTAATAGCTGACCCAAAAAAAGTTGGGTATCCACTCCAAAGTATATTATCTGTGCATGTTGCCTCTAGTTCCCTTTGGGAACTAGAGGATCTGACGAAGAACTGGGATCAAGCTATTGATTATGCCAGAAGACGTGGCGGTCAATGCCTAGGAAGAACTCCTTCTTACCTTTAAACATGCGTTGGAGTTTGTTGCCTAGAAGAAGATTGATAATCATATTAGTTTTTCCACTATGTGAGCCTCCAGTAACTAGAAGGCGAAAATGCCAATCTGGACTATATTTATTGCCTTTTATTTGTTCCAAAGATTTTCTGAAGATCTCGTCAACGTTATACACAAAGAATTCCATATAATACGATATACAAAGTATATCAAAATGAGAAATTTCAGCGAATTTATTTGCTCAAAATCATGTGAACTTTCAAGAGCTGGACTTCACTTTATCTAAAACCCTTTCTCAATTAATGTATGTCTAATAAACAGATATAAGTCTGCACTATAAGGCACTTCAATAAGGCATATACCTTGCTCCTTACATATATCCCACTTCTTCTGATCACACATTCTCTAAGTTTCTAAACTTTCGCTCTTCCAATGGTATAAGCTATTGTGTCAATAGTGCTGAGATCCCTAGAATTTGAATGCAAGACGCAATTCCTCATTATATTCATCTAAGTGTAGCCTATCTAAGAACTTAGCTCTACATGACGGGAATTTCTTACCTAATAGATCCTCAAAAATATATTGTACATTTATTTCGGTAGTATGATAACATAGCGGGCATCACTTGAATTTTTTCATGATATATTTTAGTGGATACTCCCACTAGTGTACATCATTTTTACAAGACCAGAGATAGATATCATATCCATTTATTTGACCGGGATAGATATATTAAAAATGATGATCTCATTTTAGTTGGAAAGCATGCTTAACCTAAATGGGAACTAGTAAAAAATGCTATTCACATTTTTGCAAATAGTCCTGCGCCATATAGAGAGAATATCACATTTCAAATAATAAAGGCGGAAAAGATTCCAGATATAAGCAAATTCTTTCTGAAAAGAAGCACTGTTGTTGTTTTTGAAGATCTTTATGCTGAATCAAAACAAGTACAAGAATGTATAATCCCTTACTTCATTAGTGGATGGTATCAAAACATATCCCTATATACGTGACTCAGAAATATCAAGCTGTACCGAAGATAATTCGTGAAAATATCTCGCATCTAGTTATATTCTGAGGAAGTGGATCTCGAGAAGATATATGCAGAATCGTGCGTCAATATACAGACGATCCAAAAAAAGCATCTAAGATTATTGACAAACATTTGCGAGATCGGAATTTCGTAGTTTTTGATTTCACTAAGCCAATCAATGATCCTCTCGCAATTAGGTTAGGTTGGGACACGCCCTTAAAATTGGATGAGTAGGTTCATTTCTGCCCTTTCGCATTTATTCTCATGTTATATTATATTCCATATACATAAAAAAAAATCATGTGCACATTCTGTTCTGAAATACCAATAAAGAAAATTTTCTATACAGGCATGTATTACTTCACATGTAGCATACATGCATTAGCCAAACAAACAAATTTTTTACTTCAAGCAAAAATATTATATGGATCATATGATTAATAGCATACGAACTACTTTTATTCCATGCAATTTACATTAAACTGCATATTATGTTAAAGAATACGAGATAAACACGTAGATAGATATACATAATTTTTGACCAATCCACCGATTTAACCAGTTTAACCTAATTATTCTTCTTTTTTCTAGGAGAAGTTTTCACTTTATCGATCTTAGAATCATCATCACTTGATTCGGAAATAGGATTTGTAATATAAGACATTATACTCTTAGTACTCGAAATAATCATATCCTAATTTTCAAGAATAACATTACATCAATCAATATCTTTATATGTATTCAAACATTTCATGCAAAAACTTACTCGCATCGTCCACAAGTTTGAGGCGAACTTTGGTAACTCTTTGAAGAGCAAAGCTGGTATTGTTGAATAAGAGAACTTTTTTTCGAGTTTAAAATAATATACACCAGCAAAGGGCATACACATGCTGTAAATATAAAAGTCATGATCTGTATGAATTTATGAAGAAAATTAGAATTTACTTATAATGGAAATATTGATCCAGCCATAGAACTTACCATATATTTGAACGTCGTATACTTTTATTCTTCTAAACTCTCCGAAATCGCCTGGATAGTTGACTTTAATAAAGTTCAGGATGATCTTTAGCATCTTGGCGGTTTTATTTCTATCCCCAATATAGTGGGTATGGTCAGGACATGATGGAGATCCTGAAACTTCCAAAGTTGACACCTCCAAATCAAAATCCACCATTGATATAATTGCGTCAATTTTATTTCCGGTACATCGTCGATCATCGTCTCTTAATGATTGGTTCAGCTGATCAGCAGAGCATTGCAAGGTTGATTCACCCCTGTTGAAACACAAGCCAGCAATAAAGTTAATAAATAATAGTAATTACTCAACGCACTAAATTTGACTTAAACTTACCACCTACAGTCCAAAAACAACTGATCTTCGAATAGCATGGTAAAGATATGGGAAACAAACTTAATTATGTAATGTCCTTCTGTCTGATTTTCTTTGAGGCGGTTTCTGCCATTTGAAAATTGTTTCCAGCTATAGCAAGTCTAAAACCCGTTTCCTCCATATTGTATTTCCATTTTCCCGTAGCTTTTCACACTCTATTCTGATTACATCACGTAATTTTTCCGCGGTATTCTATGAAGTAAACATAAATATAAGGAATCACCAACAAATCAAAGTCTAACCTTCCCTACTTACCACATTTTTCAATATACTTTTTACATATTGTTTGACATCATCTGCCCTTCCATCTTGTTCTATGTTCTGGTCAATCGAAGCTAAAGTGGAAGCAGATTCTGGAGCTAATGATGTTGCATCGGGGCTAGACGTTAAAAATTCTTCTATTGTTCCAATAATATCACCCCAATGCTTCCCGAAGAGATTTCGTGCTTCTGTTGCAGAAGATCTGGCCGTATCAAGAATATTATAACGCATTAGGCTGTAAAAAAAAGTTTTCAGCATCTAGGGTATATATATATATATCAATGGAGTATTCAACAGATGTACATACTCTTGTTTATGTATTTCTTCAACGTGTCTTGATGAGCGACGCCATTGCTCCATTTTTGATCTAACACACATATTCTTGACAATTAGTTTGCAATCGACGGTGATATCAACAGGGGATTTCATTAGGAGATCATCTTCGGAAGTATCATCTTTAGAACCATGTTCTTTACATACGGAAGCACCTGATGAAGTATCATACGAAAAAATTCGATGAGGCGGAGTACGTGGCCCATCATACTCGGGACTATTATTTTCGTTTATACTGCTAGTCATTTCCGTGCTAGACCTTGCACTTTCTGTTGATGATAATGGTTTTGGTACTCCTGGTGATGATAATGCGTTCGGTGCTCCTTGTGATGGTGATGGTATTGGTACTTCTGGTGTTGATGATCGTCTTGGTACTCCTTGTGATGATGATGAGGATGGCGTGTCTTTCGTGGTTTTGGCCTGTTTACGCAAAAAAAAAAAAATAGAAAAATTTTGAGAAGAATTCACGGTAACAAATCCTTATAGCTGAACCAACCGACTCTTTATTCTGTAGATGTAATAAATCATTAAAAAATGGTTGCATAAAATTCATTGCAACGTAAGACCTTATCAATATCCTAACCTTTTTTGAAAGAGATAACTGCTTTTTCCGCTTTGGTATACGGGCAGGCATGAAATCATCGTCGGACTAAATACAAAGAAAGAGTTAATATCTGACAGCCACAATTCTCATAAATTACGCATCCGTACCTCATTATGATCCTTTTCTTTTGACATAGGTTTTATCTCACCGTTTATATTTTCAAATGTTCCACCATTTATTTCATTTATTACAGTCCCCGCGTTTTGGATGTGAACTTGTTTCTGCGTGCGCTTCTTTTCCCATTCCATTGCTTTTGTTCGATCAGGTTTAGGATCCTTATGAATGAAAATTCTAGAAATTAGTAATAATTTTCGACTAATATTTCCTATCCCATTGGAACATCATCGCAACCTAATAGGCCACCTGTGTCCCAATGGGTCCAGTGTTGGATCAGCTAATAGCCTTTAGCATCAGATAACTGGGCAAGTCACCTGTGCGCCAACACCAGTTTCGTGGCTCAGCTAATAGCCTTGAATGACGGGCGACCTAGTAGGCCTCCAGCCACGCCACTTTACCTTCCAAGAATTTTACTTGCCTTTTTGTATTTATCAAAAAGCACTTGTGCGCTTTCTCTTTCCTGCACACTACTTTTATGAGAATTAATTATTACTAAGAGGGATTTTATGTAAAAATCTATTTTTAGATCGAACGGTTCTAGGGTACACTCATTCAAAAAGTCGAGAACACTCCAACTTTCAGGGTTTCGGCTGAAGTACTCGGGCATGTTTAAGTACAGTATACCTACAAACAAAAAAGGATACCGAGTAAAGAACTTAAATCGAGTTACGAACTGGTTTCTTTTTTGCGTAATCTAGGCGTAACCGTCCACTTTTAGCACGCGAAATATCACATGATCCGTTGATAAGTCACATGATTCTGATCGTTGACGAAACTTTATTGATTATTTTTTAGATACAACTAATCAGAAAATGTTAGAGAAGCATATGATGCTATCAAAGAGGGAGGGAGTATGCGGATCCTAGGCCATTTAATGCGAGTCCCAGCATCAATTTATTCTTTGCTCTCAGACTTTTTATAAACTTCTACACCTAATTTCTATCAGATTCTCACCCCCACACTCTTTTACTAGATTTCCGAAATAAATTTTCCCGCACATATCTACAGAATTTTCTTCTATCTATATCACTTTCACCCGCACAGACTATATAAAAGATTATTTCCCGCAAGAAAACTTCTCCGAGATTAAGTAATTTCGAATCTATAAGCATAAATTCGTGAGATTAGCAACTGATGTAAAAAAAAAAAAAAAAAATAATATTTCCAATTCACACTTACCACTACGATTCATTTTCATAACATTCCATTCCGCCTTGTATTTAGGGAATTTGTTGCTTAGAGCGATATAATAAAGGCATGTTGATTTTTTTATCACCAGTACGATACTACGCCAAATTTTGTTGTTGCTGAAAATCAGATAATAGAAAAGCCACAGCAACTTTACTGTGCTGATGAGACACGTAGATTCGATTCAATTAGATAATATTTTCATAATACTGCTAGTTATTTCACTGCGTCTATTATACACGTGATGATAGTCAGTGATTTTCTCGGCAAAGATCAAAATGCCGATATATAGCAAGAAGACCGAAGGAAGTAATATGTCCGTTTTATTTTGTAACATCTACAGAGGCAGGAAAATCGATTAACATTGTGATGACATGTTTCAAGAAGTTAACCCAAACTATAAAACCAATATACCTTATTATTACAGTTTGCAGATTATATTCGTTTGTTTGATTGTTGATATGGTAATGTAAATAATGGTAAGTTTAAATGTTTTGCTTAATTTTTTGTTTTTATTTGCACAAGGCGGATAAAAGATTCACTAACTGGGCGGACACCTTTTTATATAATTCACAGGATCAATTTTTGTTATACGCTTTTGGGGGAAATTATGTTAATATAATCACATCACAAAAATCTGATCAATGGCTTCTTCCTTAATTTAATAATAAAAAAAATTTAACGCTATTCAAAATCCATATGTAAAGATCATCAAGGGGCTATATATAATTTTGAGAATGTGCGAGAAAGTTTGAGAATAAATTATTTTGCGCAATTACTTGTTCTTGTGATACATGACATTTACTATAATATACTGGGCGTTTGTTCTGGATCAATGATTTCATTACAATAAACCCTGATCGAAAAAATATTAGTATACATACTTCTCACAACCCCATAACTAGCAAATTTGGCCATTATTGCGTCTTTGCTTTATTGAAAAAATACATAATACAGGTTACATGATGACACTACTTCAAACTAAAATGATAAAAAAATTTTATATGAGCGAAGCATTATATAATTTTCAAAATCCTAAATGAAAAAATTATCTATTAGCTTGTTGCTTCCTTGCAAATACATAACACAACCGAAAGTAAATCCATTTTAACTGCATAAATGTCTTGTCTGGAAGTTTCTTCTCCAATATTTTTTTCGCCGGCACTTTTTCTACTGCTTATTCAGAAGATATGTATTTGGAAAAAAAATCTTCCATCGCATAGCCCCGATATCTGGTGATCAATTTCATATGACCAGTCTAAGCCACAATCGCAAACTTGAGTTTATTGCTTGAAGTGTTGCAGGTAAGACAATATTCCAACTTATCTTGGAAATACAATTTTGCTAACTCAGGATCATAAGGGAACTGATTCCCATTTTCGCAGTACCATGAGCCATGTAATCCATAATTCCCATGTTTTCCATCACAAATAGGACATGGTGAGCTCCACGACTGAGGTGATGCAAAATTATAATTATCAATCCCTCTAAAACTATTTCGGAATTTCAAGTATAAGAAGTGCTCTAAGACGGATTTGATAATTAATTCTAGATCGGGTTTGACTTTAAAAGTTATAGGCACTTTTTCTTCACATTACTCAGAAGAAAATAAATAGGATACTTTGTTTCCTGGCTTTAAATTTATGACTTCTGATGCATGTACTTCTAATAGTTGTCATGACTCATACCTAGTTTCTTTTTTATATTTTTTGTATAAGCTGAATCGAATCTTATCTGTCAAAACACTTGATAATCCACTTAATTTGGTATGCCAATCCAGATATTCAGAGGTTAATACTTTATTGGACTTGGTCATGTTTTCTTTTTTTCTATGATTACAGATTAATTTAAATTTCTGGATAGAAAGCTGTATAATATTTCTTTTTGTATTTTCAAAAAAAATAATTAGATCATCTTTTGAAATATTTATGATATAAGAAAGGGTAATGAGATTATGCAGTTATCTCAATTTTGCACTGTTCACATTTAATAAAGTAAGATCCAGATTTATACCTATCTTCTATACTTTCTTCATCATTATGATCTAACTTGCATAATGGACATGATATCTCATCAGTAATGCCATACAGTAGCGGTCATAAGTATCCGACCGCCCGAGATCATCCAAAATTATTATATAACTACCCCTTAAATTTTCCAGAAATATAATATAACACAATACATGATCACCTGTAAATTT